TCAACAAACTTGAAGATAAACAAGTGGCCATCTAGCAGGGAAGCAACAAAGCCCACACGGAAGAAGCACACCAGCCTGTGTGATCATGAGGGGTCGATGGGATCATCGCATGCAGTTGCGTGAGCTTGAATAAGGACTTACGGACTAGTTTTGGACTCCAGTTGGGCTGGGCTTGGGCTGCTTTCTTGATATATAATTACTTCTTTATATAAAGCTCTTTCTTACACACATATGAGTGTCACTGGATTTATTTCTCTAGCTAACCCACCTTAACACAACTACCACCACTTTAGCTATGCATAGAGGCATATGTTTTAGAGATATTGAATATATAAAATAAAATTAAAAACAGGACCTGATACCAAGGGCTCAATAGGAAGTAAGTGCTTAAAAAAAAGTAAATGCTTAGAAAATAATGATGGCAACATCTGTACACATGTGCTTGATGCAATGGATGGATGGATGGTTACAAGAGCTGTAAGAGCCCCCAGTAAAATTATCTTTCAATAGAATTTTTAAAAATTAGATTCACTTGACCTTCTGCTTTCTTGTTAGATGCCATTGAGTCAGTCCCAACTCATAGCGAGTGGCCCTGTGTGCACAAGAGAGAGCCACTGCCCGGTCCTGCGCCATCCTCACAGTGGTCCCTCTGCCGGAGCCCTGGGTTGCAGGCACGGTGTCAGTCCATCTCCTTCACGGCCCTTCGACGTACCCCACGTGATGTCCTTCCCCAGGGACCGGTCTCTCCTGATCCAAAGTATGTAAAATGAAGTCTTGTCATCCTTGCCTCTAAGGAGCACTCTGGTCTTACTTTTCTTTTTATATATAAACAGAAGGATATCTATCTGTTTATCTTTAATAAATCATTTTTATTGGAGGCTCTTGTAACCATCCATCCATCAATTGTATCAAGCACATGTGTACATGTGTTGACATCATTTTCTAGACATTTACTTTCTATTGAGCCCTTGGTGTCAGCTCCTCTTTTCCCTACCTCCCCCACCCTCCTACCCTTGTGATACCTTGATAAATTATAAATGAGTATTATTATCTTCAATCTTATACCATCTGCTGTCTCCCTTCACCCATGTTCCTCTTGTTTGTCCCCCT